TACACAGCTTCAATTTAAAGAAAAAATGTGGTTTAGTTTTAAATGTTCTAAATTAACAAAGTAACATCTTTAACAAACCTCACACTGTCATGTAATTGTACTATTCATAAACTAATTATATTATAGAATTTATAAAAGACTTTAGGCTCTGTGACTCATCCGGTGTCATGTAATTGTACTATTCATAAACTAATTATATTATAGAATTTATAAAAGACTTTAGGCTCTGTGGCTCATCCGGTGGGGTGTCAGCCACACACACTGGAGTTGGTGTGTTTGAACCCAGCCCAGGCCTACCAAACAACAATGACAATTGCATTTAAGGGTAGCTGGGTGTTGTGGCAGTGCCTGTGGTCTCATGTGCTTGGGAGGCTGAGGCAAGAGAATCGCTTAAGACCAGGAGTTTGAGGTTGCTGTCAGCTGTGACGCCACAGCACTCTACGAAGTGCAACATAGTGATACTGTCATGTACCCTGCTCTGGAAATGGCACTTAAATTTAAAGTTGCATGAGCAAACCTCTTGGTCCTGGCCAGTGTACCTGGCAGATGTCAAAAGCTGAAATCTCTATGTGAGATCCACCCCTGTAGCCCTCATGAGACGAGACTGGTGGCAAGCTCTAGAATGCTGGTAGATAGGTGGGTGGATTTTTGCAATTTCTTCTGCTGCCTTAACTTTGTTGCTTTGTCCTATTTGTAAATCCTTCAGAGAACAGAGAAGTCTTTCTTCAGGATGTGACCTCCCCAAGCCTCATTTTCCTTAGTTGAAAAGGGAAATGATATCAAGACTTCCTTACTTTGGGGAGGTGGGTGCTGAGTGCTTCCCTTTTTGGTTCAGCTACTAGCGCGAACCCTGCCTAACTCAGTTGTTTTTGGATGTTTTGGACTCAGTTGTTTTTGATCACTCCACTGTTTATTAATCAAAGAGAATTCTCATCTCTCCCATTCTCAGCTTCTCCTTTGTGTTTGGGAAGATCAGGATGTCAAGTGTCAGCACCTGGCAGTCTTTTTTTGAGCCTTGTGGGCTTGGGTTTGTTGGTGTCACTTTACTATGCCATCTCCACCTTCTCTCAGCCTGTGGCGGACCCAGGCACAGAACAGGCATTGAGGAAGTGGTGGTAAATGGTAGCTTTTCCTCTCGGAGCTGGCAGATTCTCTTTTTGGTACCATAGTATGTTGAAAAATAAATGCTAAAATTCTTTCACAATACAAAAAAGAAGTACCTAAATATAAACAAATTTTTTTCTTTTTTTTAAAATTTTATTTAAATGAATATGAGGGTATACTACTTAGGTTACCTTGTTCTCACTTCCAGGGCAAAGTTCCATTTAGAAGGGCCCCTTACCCTGGGTCATGTTATACACCCTCACAATGTTCACATTAGGTGAGATTCCACTTCATGCCCTACCCCCTTTTACCATAAGTCCTCCTCCCTCCCCCTTCCCTACCCATGAACTGGACAATATTTTATTGTTCTTAGGAATATGTAATTGTTTATATATTGACTTCATATTAGTATGGAATACATTGGATATTTATCTTTCCATTCTTGCAGTACTTTACTAAGAAGAATGTATTTCACCTCCATCTAGGTAAATGTAAAAGATTTAAAGTCTCTGTCTTTTTTAATGGTTGCATAGTATTCCATGGTATGCATATACCACAGTTTGTTGATCCATTCATGGGTTGATGGGCTCTTAGGCTGCTTCCACGAATTGGTAAATATGAATTGAGCTGCAATAAACTTTCTAGTGCAAATGTCTTTGTGGTAAAATGATTTATGTTTTTCTGGTTAGATAGCTAGTAATGGGATTGCAGGGTCATATGAAAGGTCTATATTTAGATCTTTGAGGATTCTCCATACTTCTCTCCAAAAGGGTTGTTTGCAGTCCCACCAGCAGGGTATAAGTGTTCTCTTCTCTCCACATCCACGCCAGCAAGAGCTGGCGGATTCTGTACTCCGAGATGTCCCTCAAGCCTGCAGGGCAGCTGAGGGTGCCGGGCCTCCAGATCGCGGACTACAACTCCCAGGAGTCTGGAGCACCTCCTCGGGAAAACATCGCGAGATGTGCCGCCTTCTCGGCTTTATCTCCGAGGCCGCCTGCCGGCCTGGGAGCCAGTGTTTCTTAGTCGGTCGGGGGACCTTCAGTGTCGCCGCCGCTCTCACCATGGCTTGGGTCCAAGCTGCGCCACAACCTCTAGGGAGACGTGGGTCCTCGGAGCCACTTTAGTGTCGGACTTAGGGCTGCAGGCAGCTCCGCGGCGGCAGCAGGAGAACAGGTGAACAGATGGCGGGCCTGGGCCCTGCCCGGGGCCCCGTCTTCTGCCCATCTGGAGGGGTGCGCTTCTGGCCCCTCCGGCTGAGGCCTGAGCCCTGAGCCCGGTGGCCCGACATGCCTCTCCTCTGAGCTCGGTCCCAGAGCTCGGCCAGGCTGCGTCCCCCGGGCTAGCTAACCCCGCTGGCTTGGGTCAATGGGGCTTTCTCTGCTGAGGCCCCGAAGCCCCAGCACGGAGCTTCTCTTTCACTTGGACCCGCCTGACCCAGCCCGAGACCTCACAGTCCTTGTCGTCACCTTCCTTTCTCCAGCCCTCTCCTCGCTCTACCCTTCAGCTTGTGCTAGGCGTTGGCCCTCCTAATTTCCTTAGTCTTTCGTATCATCAAGAGGGCTGTGGAGTCAGATCTTTGTGGCGTCGTCTGATATCTTGTTTAGGAGAGGTGTGCGGGACTGTGAGCTGGGGGCGGAGACTTTGGGAGAAGGGATGTATTTGGGAGGAGAATGCTCCCTGGACTAGTAGGGTGGTGGAACTTTTCTCCTTGATGCTCGCGGGAACTGTTTTGCCCTCTGAGCCCTGTCAGAATAGAGGGGGCAGTGTAACTTGTTTCTAAGGGCCTTGTTTTAGTTTACGTGTAAAGTGGGGATGAAACTACCTGTCTTTGAGATGGGGTACTTAATTGTGACCTTAGGCAAATCACTTAACGCCTTTGATTTTTAGTTTCCTTCTCTTTAAATTTGGGGTAAATAATGCCTGCTTTGTCGTGTTGCTTCAAGGGTTAAAAGACAACCTAAAGCGCTATAAATATAAGTTTTAGCAATAAAGAATGAATTCACCTACTGTGGTACCTAGGCCCTTCCTGTGAATTAAGAAAGTGGGTGTAGTACCCCTTGCCAGGTTGTTATGAGGAATAAATGAGCATTCAGGAATGTGTTTGTCTCATTCTGAGGCATTATACCAATGCTGGTTGTTTGTTACTAGAACCTCTGGATGGACCCTTCCTGGGAAGTTTTGCTAATTTGCAGCAGCTGGACAATGTTCCTCATTACTGTCTGTCTGTCAGCATAATCATCACATAATTTCACTGTGGTAAGGTGACTTGTACACCCTGTATGTATGATGTTTTACCTTTGTTTTCTCACCAGTCTTAAGATCAGGCATGGATGTGGCAAGATCTTTGACGCTGTCCTATTTTCATTGGCATGTTTGTCACTCACAGCTTTTGTATGTATGTTTCAACCCCCCCCCCCCACTTTCTTTTTTTGAAACAGAGTCTCACTTTGTTGCCCTTGGTAGAGTGCCCTGGCTCCTAGCTCACAGCAACCTCAAATTCTTAGGCTAAAGCGATTCTCTTGTTGCAGCCTCTCAAGTTTCTGGGACTATAGGAGCCCACCGCAAGCCCAGCTAATTTTATTTTATTTTATTTTTATTTATTTTTTTTTTGAGACAGAGCCTCAAGCTGTCCCCCTGGGTAGAGTGCCGTGGCATTACAGCTCACAGCAACCTCCAACTCCTGGGCTCAAGCGAGTCTCCTGCCTCAGCCTCCCAAGTAGCTGGGACCACAGGCGCCCGCCACAACGCCCGGCTATTTTTTTTTTTTTGGTTGCAGCCGTCATTGTTGTTTGGCGGGTCCCGTCTGGGGATTCGAACCCACCACCTTAGGTGTACGTGGCTGGCGCCTTAGCCAGCTGAGCTATAGGCGCCGAGCCAGCCCAGCTAATTTTAGAGAGTGTCTCTCACTCTTTGCTCAAGCTGAGTTCAAGCAGCCCACCCGCCTCCGTCTCCCAGAATGTTAGGATTACAGGCGTGAGCCACCGTGCCTGCCCTTTTGTTTCAGCTTTGTAAACAAATCATTAAATTCTGCCGCCCTCACCTAAGGGAAACTGGGGGTTGGGGGAGGTGGTGGCGGTTTCTGTGTTCTAGTCAAAAGAACAGTTTCAGTAATATTCTTTGGTGTTTACCATAAGAAAATGCCTTTTGTCATTTTTATTAGGTGGCAGGGATTCAGCTCAGAATTCTTTATAGAAAACACCTGGATCCCAGTCTTTCAATGGCTTCAAGACAACCAGAAGTACCTGGTAAACTTAATTCTTTTTTGGTTAAGTCCTGTTTTGCCCTTAATGATTTAAGCTAGATAGAAACCATTTTATCTGAACTATATATTAATGGTTACCCTCTGCCTCCCAGGTTAGGTATTTAAATTTAATACATTGTCACCTGTTAAATATTATCTTATTAACCACTCAGCTTTGGCATGAACCCTTAACCTAGAACAGTCATTTCATGTAAGGTTGTGACAAGTTTGTTACTTTTTTACAGGTAACAAATAAGAATTTAGGAAAAGTTGTATAGTTCTTTAGTATGTATCAAAGTGAACTTAATCATGAAAATGCTCAGAGCTCATTAAAGAATTGAGTCGGTTTCTGGGTTACTGAAGTCATTGATTCCTGCTTGAATTGTTTTATGGGAAGGGAAAGTGATTTTTAATACCTGAATCACTTAATTTCTGATTGTTCATAAAGTATGATGATGAAGAAAAGTGATGGTACCTATTTCTTAGGGATGTTGTGAAGATTATAAATATTATATAATTATTAATATATAAAATATATATCAATATTATATAAAATATTATTTTTAGCATGACTGTTCGGGGGAGTTTTTAAGATGTTTTTGAAATTGTTGCCCAAATTGGGTGGATTATTAGAAGTTTCATCATGTCCTCTAATGTAGATCCATCTCTAGTCTCTAACATCATCAGTTTTTGTTGTGGTTTGTCTTTCACTGTTGGTGTGATTACCATAAACTCTCTGTAACCATCCTGAGCTATAGGGTTGCGCTCATTAGCTTAATGTTTTGTAGTGTGGGGAGCATGGAGTGTTGCATGCAGTATGTGAGCACTGACTTAGGTATGCATCGCAGTCCTCAGCCCATACTTGGTAGCTGGGTGGTACTGGGCAAGTTGCTTAAGATCTGTGCCTCAGTTTCCTGAGCTGGGAAGTGGGAAAAATATGTGCTACATGAGGATTAGATAAGGTGAAGGGTGTGAGTGCCTATCAAGGAGGAATACTTAGTAATTATTATTTGCTTGTGTGTTTGAGGTATAATGAACATATCATAAAGTCACTCACTTCAAGTGAAAATTTAGTGATTTTTGGTATATTGCAAGGTTTTGCAAACATCACCACTATCTTAACTGCAGAACAATTTCATAACCCCTAGTAGAAAACCTTATACCATTAGCAGTCATAACTCATTCTTCCCTCTCCTTAGTTCCTTAATCCTTTTTCTATTTCTATGGATTTGTTAGTAATTATTACTAATAGTAATAATAATGGTGCAAATGGTCAACATATGGTTTAAATGAAGTCTTTGGTGGTCTTAGACTTAACTGGCAGGCAAGTTGATGTCTCAGCGCAAAATTATATAATTTTAGCAACAAGAAAATGTCATCTTGAAGGTAGGCTGTGGATATTCGTTGTGATCTGAAAAGATTAGCAAACCAAACCAAATGAACTTGGCTGTCTGGTTGGGCACAGCTGAGAGTGCCCTTGAAGGGAGGTGCCTGCGTCATAATGGGACAGTGGACAGTCAGTTCCAGTGGACAGGAACAGCAGGGTCAGTCGGTAGTGTTTTGTGAGACTGGTTGTCAGCACTTTCTGTGATGGAAATTGGCTCTGCTGTTTAAATCATACTGAACACTTGAAATTAGAAATGGTGCCAGATGCCATATTTCTTTTTCTTTCTTTTCTTTTTTTTTTTTGAGACAGAGTCTCACTATTTTGCCCTTGGTAGAGTGCTATAGCATCACAGCTCACAGCAACCTCAAACTCTTGGGCTTAAGCAATTCTCTTGCCTCAGTCTCCCGAGTAGCTGGGACTTCAGGCGCCTGCCACAACGCCTGGCTATTTTTTGGTTGCAGTTGTCATTGTTGTTTAGCAGGCCCAGGCTGGGTTCGAACCCACCACCCCTGGTGTATGTGGCTGGTGCTCTAGCCTCTGAGCTACAGGAGCCAAGCCAAGATGAAATATTTCTTGTAGTGCTGTTTTCTTTGGTGAGGTAGAAAAAGCAGAGGGCTTGCACTCAGTGGGCAAACCCTGGCTATTTTCTTTATGAACTTGGGCACATAAATCCTTTTACTAGGCCTTAGGTCCCTCAACTATAAAATGGAAATAAGAACTTCATATCTGGGCGGCGCCTGTGGCTCAGTGAGTAGGGCGCTGGCTGCATATACGGAGGTTGGCTGGTCAAACCTGGCCCTGGCCAAACTGCAACAAAAAAAATAGCTGGGTTATTGTGGTGGGCGCCTGTAGTCCCAGCTACTCCGGAGGCTGAGGCAAGAGAATCGCCTAAGCCCAGGAACTGGAGGTTGCTGTGAGCTGTGACGCCATGCACTCTACCGAAGGTGACAAAGTGAGACTGTCTCTTTAAAAAAAAAACAAAAAAACCCCTCTTTTATTTCATATTCTTAGTTTTGTATGAATTGAGAATTTTAGTATTACAGTAGGGTGTGGCTTTTTTGAGATCAGGTAGGCTTGGAGGCCTGGCGAGGTGGCACATGCCTGTACTCCAGCACTCTGGGAGGCCCAGGCAGGTGGATTGCCTGAGCTCACAAGTTCAAGACCAGCCTGAACCAAAGCAAGATCGCATTTCTAAAAATAGCCAGGCATTGTCGTGGTGCCTATAGTCCCAGCTACTTGGGATGCTGAGGCAAGAGAATTACTTGAGCCCAAGAGTTTGAGGTTGCTGTGAGCTAATTTGTTACAGCACTCCACTGCGGGCGACAAAGTGAGACTCTGTCTCAAAACAAAAAAGAAAAACGAAATTGGGTAGGCTTGGGTTTTGATTCCAAACTGTACTTGGAAGTTGTGTGACCATGCTCAGGTAGATTTAAATTGAAATGTCCAGAATAGAAAACAGATTGGGCTGCTGAGTGGGTTAAGTGGAGAATCCAAAGTGTCAGGCATAGAGGAAGGGATTAGTTATTATTACCCTTCCTTGACTGGATTCCAGAACAAGCTGTATTTGCTCTGTCCTACAGTAAAGCTACTACTGTGTTCAGTTGCTGAACCTATTGTGACAGGTGTCTCTGTTCTTAGCTCTTGAGCCCAGTGGGCCTCTAGGCAAGATGTCCCTGCCCATCGGGATATACCGCCGGGCATTGAGCTATGATGATGCCCTTGAGGACCCTACACCCATGACTCCTCCTCCATCCGACATGGGCAGCATCCCCTGGAAGCCAGTGATTCCAGAGCGCAAGTATCAGCACCTCGCCAAGGTACCTGACTCTGCTAGCTGCTTTTGGCAACCTAACTCCTTTGTTCTTCCTCTGCTGCAGAACCTTCAGTGGCTCCCTGTACCCATAGAATTGGGCAGCAGTCACTCCCTGTAAATGTTTTCTGTGCCTCAGCTACAATTGGTGTGTCC